GCTGGGCTTGAGGGGTTTCACACTCCTGGTAAAGTGTGACTGCCCTGGGGTTTTTGGTGCTCGGAACCCCTCAAAATTCTCTTTGCATGGACCCCACAAGGAATCCATTTCCACAAACCAAATGCTGCCCTCCACATCTCACTGTGTGAGGGGCACAGTGGTGACCAGTAAAAGACCATGCTGGGCACAGTGGTCTGCACGGATGTGAGCATACTGCTCCTGAAGGAGACAGTCTCAGATTGGCTGACATTCCAGTGGGGGGTGGTTTGTACGTTGTTGCCACACCCTGCTTGGGCTGGTGACAGAATCACAAGCCATCACCCAACGAAGCAGTGTGTTCACCATCAGAGCTTTCGGTGTTGGGAACCTGGGGCTGCCCTAATGAGTAAGTGTCAGAGTAGCAGCCCCTGACAATATCACGGGTCCATAGGCGCCGTTGTACGTTTATAATATGTAAAGGTGATAGTAAAGTCAGAAAGGAGGTAGGAGAGAAGAAAAAGGAGTCAGACACATTTTATGGTGGCAGGCTCACTTTCCGGACAGCCATGATCTCAGCAACCAGGTCCATGCATAGAGCAGGAGGAGGAGAGGGGGTATCATCTGACCAAGGCCTATAAGAACCCTGGTTACCAGGTAGCCACATCTAGTAAGGGGAGTAGCTATGGGTGTACACATAATAGGAAGGGGAGGTACTAGGGGTACACCCATGATGGGTGGACCCTAGACAAAAGATGTCAGCCTAACCTGGTCAGCCTTGAGTGGGCTCAACCTTGTCTCTGGGCTCTCCAGGGAGGCAATCCACTACCCTTATCAGAAGGGGTAGGACAGTGCAGATGGCTGACAACCCTCAGGGAGGTTAACCTCCAAGCAGCTTGCATTGACCTCTTAAGTCAAGCAGTGTCTTAGGTTTGGCATATATTTGGGGGGGAAACCCTTGCATTTCACCAGTAGTGTTTTGCCCTTCCAGACCTTAGCATGCATTTGAGCCTCTTGAGGAACTAAGACACACGGGGTCCCATGTAGAGATGAGGAAAGAGGCCCAGCCTTCTGCTCAGGTTTCTTCTGTCAGCGTTCAAGCATAGAAGGGGGGGGGGCGTTCCACGTAGAGGGGAGTGTTTTCACGTGGCATTTAATGCTGTGGGGTTTCAAGCAACAATTCAGCAAACCCAGTTCACACTATCACAGAGAGCAGGTGGGGGTTAGTTGTAGGCTTCATTTAAAAGAAGAAAAACTTCCCCTGGCGCAGGCTTCACGTCTGCTCTACCCCTGACTATCTGGCCTGCTTGGGGCTGAGTTGATTACTAAATGCCACCTGTGGTCACAAACCTTCAGTGACTTACTGCCCACAGTCCCTGAGTAATGGGAAATTAATGGGCTGAGCAAGTTTGGAGTGCCTCAAGTCCAGGCAATCC